CTGGTCCCCTTCTCCCATTGGCCTCAGTTGCTTTAAAGTATCTGCTTTAGTTTCTCTGCGTTGAGGGCAACAAATGCTACCTAGTTTTTTAGGTGTCTTACCTAGCCTCATACCTCCCTTGTATGCACTCGCTTTATCATGTGATCAAAGTCCAATCCCCTTGTTGTGTTTGCCCTTGATCTAATGTCCGCATATGAGGGAGAACATATGATTTTTGGTCTTTTGGGCCAGGCTAACCTCACTCAGAATGATGCTGTCCAGTTCCATCCATTTATCTGTGAATGATAATGTTTTGTTCTTCTTCATGGCTGCATAAATTCCATTGTGTATAAGTACCACATTTTCTTAATCCATTCGTCAGTGGTGGGGCATCTTGGCTGTTTCCATAACTTGGCTATTGTGAATAGTGCTGCAATAAACATGGGTGTGCAGGTGCCTCTGGAGTAACCTGTGTCACAGTCTTTTGGGTATATCCCCAAGAGTGGTATTGCTGGATGATATGGTAGATCTATGTTTAGATTTTTAAGAAGCCTCCAAATTTTTTTCCAGAGTGGCTGTACTAGTTTGCATTCCCACCAATAGTGTAAAAGGGTTCCTTTTTCCCCACATATGATGGGATTTTTTGAGATAGGGTCTTGAGAACTATTTGCTCTAGCTGACTTTGAGTCATGATCCTCCCGATCATCCTCCTGAGTAACTAGGATTACAGGCATGAGCCACTGGTGCCCGGTTTTATGTTGATCTTTCTAAAGGGATGGTGGACACTTTGGAAGTACCAATCTGTCATCTTAGGAGGCACTTACACCTTGGGCCAAGGAGGAGGTGGAGAAGCAGGCAGAGGTAGGTAAAACCTTGCTCTGGCTCATACACAAAGTTTCCACTGTATGGATGGACATCAGCCTCCAAACTGAGTTTACTCAACATGGCAATGGTTTGGGGCACGTTTCATGCTGTCCAGACACAGGGCTTCTCAGACATCAAAAAAAAAAGTCCCATAAAAATGGAAAGAAAATACCAGAGGTGATTTTCTTGAACTTCACTTGAGTCAAACAGTACCCACAGGCATGGTACTCAAGCTTGTTGGCATGCCAGGCTGGCATGGTGGCAAATACAGCTTAGTAACGCAAGATCTGAGCCCAGGAGGATGGAGTGGAGGAAGGCAACCTGTGAAGACGGTGTGGACTAAAGCAAGACAGAGGAACATGAGTCTGGGAAGCAGAGTTAAGCCATGAGGCTGTTCCAGGAGGAAAGGACAAGCTGAGGTCAATGCAGTGGTTGAGATCCAGAGCATGGTTGCTGGTGTTGAGAGAAGGGTACAACTGGGTGTGGTTCACGGGGTGAGTGGAGAGTGTCAGCACCTTGAGAGCAAGTGCCCGGGTCCTGACACTGCAGACTAGGCTGGGTGGGAGGAAGGGAAGAAATGGCCTTCAAGGAGCACTTTCTACCTTTCAGACCCTGTGCTAAGTATTTTATGAACAAAGAAAGGACATTTAATGCTGGTAAAGCTAAGATAGTCTGAGGAAACCCTGGGATCGGGTGGAGACACTGAAGCCCTTCTCAGAACTAAGAATACAGTCCAGGTGAGAATGTGGCCTTACCAAGATAGCCTCAGGGTTGAGAGAGAGGCACTGACCTGGGCTGAGCTGGCATGGCATTGGGCCCACTGGAGGAGGCTTGTTCTGGCCAGAATTGCAAGGCAGAAATCCTGGCAAAGCCTCACATGGGCTGGGCCACCAGTCCCTGTCCATCCCAAGGCCATGCTCTTTCCATCACACCTATGTATCCAATGGCTAATAATAATTTCAAGATTTAGCTGGTGGAATGACTCATGTGGCAAAGCACCCACCGAGTGAGCACGTGGCAGGAAGCAAGACAGTGGCACCAAAAAAGAAGAAGAAGAATGAATGAATAATTTCAAGATTTACGTAGTAGAGAAAAGGTTAGATCAAAAAAGAATTAACCTAGAAGGTAACACCCATGCACAGGAAATCAATGTGAGTCAATGCCCTGTATAGCTATCCTTATCTCAACCAGCAAAAACCCTTGTTCCTTCCTATTATTGCTTATACTCTCTCTACAACAAAATTAGAGATAAGGGCAAAATAGTTTCTGCTGGGTATTGAGGGGGTGTGGGGGAGAGGGAGGGGGCGGAGTGGGTGGTAAGGGAGGGGGTGGGGGCAGGGGGGAGAAATGAACCAAGCCTTGTATGCACATATGAATAATAAAAGAAAAATGAAAAAAAAAACATATTTGTGGGGGTTGAGGGAGAGAGATGATGGGGACAATGTAACTAATATACAATATAAGTCTAATCGGAATTGTCACTATGAATCCCCCCTCTATAATGAATATATCCTAATAAAAAAATGTATTAAAAAAAAAAACATAGACACCAGTAACAACCACAAACTTTTGCAAGTTATGCTATACTACATAACTGGTGTCCGTTTCTAGGTTATCAGGTATTGGGGCAGGAGGTGTTACAGCTTTCACTCCTATTTGGCTTCTTCTGTGTGACTCTGTCTAAGTTACTTGCCCTCTCTGGACTTCAATATACCCAGTAGGCAGTAGCTAATAAGTGATCAGTGTTCTACAACATAGGATGGGAAGTGTCTGGAGAGGGGTGGATTTGCCAGGCTTGAACAGGCTCTGGAATCCTCAGACGGTGTAAAGAAAACTCTTTCCCCTAGGCTCCAGGAAAACAAACTTAGATGTATTATCTTTCCTTCAATCCAGCTTGCAAGTCCTAGATGCTTCCAGAAGCATTATAGTTCTCCCACTAACAAGCCTAGTTTTGAGACAGGGAAGCTCGGGAGTGTTTGACCCCTATACTGCTCTATTTTTAACTGGAATGTCTTGCTGCACCACCGGCAATGGGTGCTTGGGAAGCCAAGGTAGAATGCACTGTCAGCAAGGCCCCAGCAAAAAATAGCAATGGCCAGAGACTAATCGGTTGTGTGGCAGGAAGCGAGACAGATGGACAAACCGATCGGCCCTGTGCCTTTGCCAAGAACTGCTCAGTTCACCACACACGTCCCTAGAGCCTCTCTGAGATTCCAGGAGGACAAGGGGCTAGTCTCTGACTACTGCTAACATGGCCAGTATGAAGGTCAAACAGGTGTGAGTCCTGGGAGCCCCACCCAGCCCTGTCCAGTTCTGGGTGCCCTGCTAATGGGATGGGGTGTTGGGCTCCTGGTTTTGCCCAGGTCTACAGATTAATCCAGCACCTTGAGGAGAGGTGATGCTTTTATGTCTTTCTGTAGAATCGGCCTTGGTGTTTGGACTAGAGATGAACTTGCACTGTGGTAGGCAAGTCTTTTTGCTATCTCTTTCCTCAGAACAGCATTCAGTCATAAGTTGCAAGGCCCCAGTCATTCTTTCCTACCTCTATACAAGTTTGTTTGCCAAGCTGACCCCATTTACATAACTTCACTGCCAGGAGTTGGCGGGGGCCAAAATCAGAAAGCATGGAGATCCTTGTAGCACAAAAAGAAGAACCATGTCTTGTGAGGCCCATGGAGAGGCAGAGATGGACTTTCTCAAACTGCTGCCCAGTTTCAGGCTAGACAAGAGAAGGGGAAATGGTAGAAGGAGCCCACAGTCTGTGTAAGAAATGCCACCATCAAGGTGACAAAAAAGCTTGGTACTGAACATGTAAAATTCATTATTAAAACCAGGAAGAGCTGGGTGTGGTAGTACAAACCTGTAATCCCACCACTCTGGGAGTCGCAGGTAGGAGGATCATGAATTTGAGGCCAGTCTGGGCTACATAGTAAGACCCAATCTCAAAAACTAACTAATGAACTATCTAAATAAAACCAGGTGGGCATGTAGACCATGTGTAGTAGCAAGACAGGTGAAGTGTCATTTCCAGTGTTGCTGTCTCACTCTCTGTGTCTTGGTGACAAACAGCACATGGGAGCAAACAGTATCCTGGGTGGACCTTGGCCTGAAGCATGACAATAAACCGATGACCCAAATGGGAGGCTCGACCCCATTGCCAGTCATAATGACAACAACCTTTCTAAAATGCTTGTAATGTGCCAGGCCTGTCACAGCTGTACAGACATATCATCAATCATTGACCCACAGAGCAGCCTCATAAAAGACGCACTATTGTCACTGTCAAGGCACGGGAAAGTTAAGCCATGGAAGAGGTGGAGCAAGTCGGTGGTTGAATCCCCGAAGCCTGCTCCTCATCCCATGTGCTTCCTGCCTCTGTCATTTACTTACTAATTCAATAAAGTTTACTGATCATTTCTTTGCCCTAGGCATTCGATGAAGTAGGGAAGTCAAGGAACATATGTGTTAAAATTTAAGAAAAGACATTTGCTCACCTCTTCCAAAGTTATTTTGCCAGCCCCATTTCTCATAGTTACTGAACAAAGGAAGGAAACTCCCAGGCTGTCAATAATAGTCCTTTTCCAGTGGGGTCTTTGCAGAATGAGAGCTCGTGGCCTGTGCTGCCTCCAATTCATGGGCTTCCCTCTAGTACAGGACCAAGTTTTACTTGTTCCCAGAGGCACATCCAGGGTCAAGTGCATTATAGATATGCACTAGATGTGGTTGATTGAATGCTTATTTTATTTTATTTGTGTATGTATGTATTTATTTATTTATTTTGATGGGACTAGGGTTTGAATTCAGGGCTTCACTTGCAAAGCAGGTGCTCTACCACTTGAGTCACACTCCCAGTCCATTTTGCTCAGGTTATTTTTTAGAGGGGAGGTCTCAGGAACTATTTGCCCAGGCTGGCCTTGCACCATGATTCTACTGATCTCAGCCTTCCAAGTAGCTAGGATTACAGGTGTAAGCCACCACGCCTGGCTAAAAATTCTTGAATACTGGAGCCAATTACAAAATACTATTAAAAATCCTCATTGTCACAGTATTGTTGCTTGTGACCACAAAACAAATGCCCTTCACAACACCCTGTACTAACACCTGGAAGAACTGAGTGTGAATTTGCTGGTTAAGTTTGCCTCTCCTTGGTTTGGCAGGAAAGATCCGCAGAGACCAACAGCAATGTGGACAGCTCAGCACCCCCGTCAGTGGCCCAGCTGGCTGGGCGGTTTCGAGAGCAGGCAGCTGCGGCCAAGGAGGTGAGTCAGGAGGCTTGGAGCATCCTCTTTGGGAGGGGGCTAAGGGAAGGGAAAGCCTGGTAGGCTCAGAGGAGAGGGAGAGAGAAGCCTTGGCAATTACCAAATTAGGAAGAGAAGCCAGAGAGGGTCCCTCTGAATGTGAGGAATGTGCCACCACCACGCTCCTGGGCAGCTTTCTCCACCTGGGTGAGCCTTATACCATGGTGAGGAGGATGAGAAGTAGAGCAGAGAATTGCAAGGCCTGCCTCCCAGAGAAGAAGGAGGGTGGATTCATTTTCATCTTCATCTTCCACCAACACAGACTTAGATCGTGCACAGCTGTTCCAGACACGAACTGATTCAGAGAAAAAACATCCTGACATGTGGCTCCTGCCACCTAGCCTAGGAGTCAGGAGCAAGGCAAGGCAACTCCTGAATTGACAGTTGAGAAAGAAACCAGGACTTGAAAGGAAACACAGCCAGGTGCCAGTGGTTCATGCCTGTACTTATAATCTTAGCTACTCATAAGGCAGAAATCAGGAGGATCCACAGTTCAAAGCCAGACCAGGCAAATAGTTGGTGAGACCCTATCTTGAAAATATCCAACACAAGAGAGGGCTGGCAGAGTAGCTCAAGTTGTAGAGCACATGCCTAGCAAGTGTGAGGCCCTGAGTTCAAACCCCAGTACCATCAAAAAATAAAAAAAGAAAGGAAACACGTTACAATAGAAGACCACTTGTCAGGAAGGAAGGGACCAGGGAGGGATCCAGGGATTCTAGAAGAATCCTGCTGGAGAGGAAAGTATAAAAAGGAGTGCCTAACTTTGGAGAGATTTGGAGTAATTACCGCAGTCATGCAGTGTGTGGTGCTCACCAAAAGTAAGATGAAAGAAGAGTGCCCAAGCAACGAGGGGGTCCACCATGATCCCATGGGGCAAATGAGAACACAGCTGCCTTGGATTTGTAGGTGTACTATTCTGCACTTTTGTTTTCTCAACTGACAAATAGGTTCCATAATTCCTAGATATTATAGGAATGTCCTGAAGGATAAAGAACATGGTATTGATCTAAGGTGCCAGCACTGTCGGAAAGCTGAAAAGGCTGAATGGAAGTCACCTTGAGATGCTGGTTCAGGTCAATGAATCTCAGGTAAAAGAGGATGTTCTGCAGGAAAGGAAAAGGAGAGGAGATGCTGAAAGTCAGTGGGTAGGCGGTTACACAGCACTGACTTATATAGTAGGTGGGAAATCTTGAACACACCCAACCCTCCATTCTTTTCTCCTCCAGACATCCCTAACCATTCTTAACACCCATCTCTACTTGCTCCTTTTCCTCCCTGTTGCCTGATTCACTGTCTCTCTTTTTCTCTCTGTGTGTCGTCTGTCACCCTCCCTCTAGACACCAGCCAGTAAACCAACAAGAAGGAAACCACCCTGCTCCCTCCCTTTGTTCCCCCCCAAGGTAGAGCTGGGCCAGAATGGTGAGGAGGTAAGTGACACTGGGATGCAGAAGACTGGGGTTTCTTCCTCCCTCTTGTAGGAAGAGGCACAAATCATTCTTATAGACCTGGAAATCCGTGCAAGGGATTTCTCCATTTCAGATTCAAGGATTAATCTCTCTTCTTAAAATGCTTCCTGGATCTTTGACTTTGGAATCTAAGCTTTCGCACCCCCACCTCCATCTCTCCTGTAGAGTTTCCTTTATGATCTGACAAGGACAGGGGCACCATTTTTCAAGCTAGAAAAATCTAGCAAAGAAAATGGTAGTATATTATTACCACACTAGATTTAGGTGCCAGGAAAATTACATTTTACTTCCAGTTCCGAGGGAGATGGTCTTAGAATGAGGGGTAGAGAGAGCACCTGGAAAGGGGGGGCTATAGTGTTATAAGTAGAAAAATTGTACTGTGAGAGACTCTCATGGCTCCTTCATCTCCTCAAAATGGCTGGCTATTGTTATGCATCATTGGAAGAAAACCAGAGCACACAGGAGGCCTGGTTGCCCTCAGATATAAATAGCCAATGCTACCAACAGAATAAAGGATCTGGTATCATAGATCATAGCCAGTAATAGATTCTCAGCCTGCATATTCACCCAACCTTATTTATCTAAGTGTAGCTGTTAGCGTGGCTTCTCTGAGCCCTATCCCAGAAGCCTGTGAACCTTCACTGTGTCCGTGGACCCACATCCATGCAAATTGAATTTACAGGTTCTACAATTCAGCCTTGGAGGCCAACCCTCCCAAAAAAGCAAGCAAGCCAAAGATAGGTCTATTCCAAATCCCACCTCAAACACCTCTTTTTTTCTTCCCTTCTTTTCTGGGGACCAGCATCCTGATGATACTGAACACCTATGTGAACTTAGGCAGGCCTCTTAGTGCCTCTTAATATGTTCTCTCATCTATAAAGTAAAACTGTAAATGGTTTTCAAGCTTTTTTTGTCAACCCAAGGCTTATTAGCAGAAGTCCATCAAAAAAGCAGAGACTCATAGCTATACCTGGGCAGGTGTGGGGGGAGAGACCCATCTGCTCTGAGAATACTTCCTCTCCCTCCACTGAACAAGGGTCTTATTCTGGGATGTGAAGTCCAAGGAGTATTGTTTTAAGAAACACTGGGGTTTTTCTTGGGTCTCTTCAAGCACCAGCATTACAATTGTGTGGCTTCATGGGGTTACTAGCCAATGTTGTGACCAAATACACAACAATGACTTCTCTTTACAGAGGGTCAACTTCTCCTTGTTACCTTTACCTTCTGGGCTTGGCATCTCTGCTGCTGTGCAATAGGCTGTGGCTGTAGCCAACCGAGTCTGTCCCCTGATAACCTGGACTAGCCCCAGAAGAGTCACTGCACCATAACGACTTGATCTCCTTATTTGTAAAATGAGGACAAAAACTCTAACCAGAGCATGGAGGCTGGGTGGGGATGCTTCGCTCCCTGGAATTAAAGCAAACAGAGTGGGTTAGGCTAGTGATGATTGGATTAAACAGCTTCATTTTAGTGGCTATGAAAATAAACTTACAAATTTCATTCATGGGGCATGCCACCCAGAAGTTAAAGGCATATAATGATCAAGGGCTGGATGAAGAAGAGGGTGATGACTTGTAGTCTGCCGCTCCTGCCTGGAGTGACAAGCTACTTGCACATAGAAAGGACTCTACCTCTAAGGTTCAATGACTTTTTGGGGTGGGGGTTGGAATATTGAATTGACTGACAAAGAACAAGAGTAGCCAGCTTTGCCTGGTTGGACTGGATGAAGGCTGCTGCCCACACTTCTTCCATGCTCCTATAGTGCAGACTGCAGGAGTCCTAAATCTAGAAACTTCCAGGGCCTGAAGAAAGAGAGGCCCAGTCAGGCTACCCCTCCAGTTCCTAATGCACAGTGCTGGGAAGACTCATTTCTTCCTCCATCATCCCTGCCCCTTCCTTATTCCTGCTTTGGTCAGCCCTCTGGGCAACACCTGATGACTTCAAGGCTCCTTCTGTAAGCAAAGTGACCGGGAGTTATACTTTTCTAGAAGAACCAGCCAAAAGGATGTTTAATACAGCTGCAGATCCTGCCTCATCTGCTCGGAAAAGGGTAAACAATAATCGCATCTTAAAAATAAGGTCCAAATTTCTAGGCATATTGGAAACTATTACTACGTATTACAAGTATATGGATGGAAGGCTGTTTTTTTCTCCATTGGGACTGTGTCAGCCCCCAGCTACGAGCCTCTAGCCCCTTGCTAAATGGTAGTGGAAATGCTGACACCTGATGGCAGTCTCAGGAACTGCATAAGTGACTATATAGAATTTGGCTTTGCTGTTGAAATTAGTAAGGGTTCTATGGCACCTCCTGGGTCTTCAGCCCTGTTGTGTGGTTAAGAGGCAATGTTTATTGAATTTCCACTGTCTTCAAGACAGAGGTTAGCCAGGGAGGACCTTATACTGCTACGTAAAGTAATCTTTGTCAGAAAAATCGTTGCTGCAGTTTCTGAAACATAATCTTCAAAAACAAGGGCCCATGTGAAACTCCGCTGTAAGACATAGAAACTAAGGACCTCCCAATTGAGTCTGGAAGTATTTTGTACTCACCAGAGACACAAGGCTCCTTGACAGACTGCTCCAGGGATATGTATATGGTAGAGACTCATGGAGGCAGAGACACCTTAGAGTCTGTCCTTAGCATCATTTATTTCACACACTATATCTTGATAGAGGAACTGAGACCGGGGACATCGCTCTGACTACTATCAAAACTTGCATCAGATGGGGGCAGGTCTGTCCTATTACACTTGGCTTTCCCTCAGTGTTGGGCTTTAAAAGGGTCACAAGGAGATCAGTTGAGTCAGTCTCTCTCCTTCTATTAGTGAAATATAATCATCTCATTCAACAAATATCTCAGAATATTCCTAAGAGATTAGCAGTATTTTTCCTTTTATGATTCAGGTAAACGAGTACATTGAAGATGAGGAACAGGGAGTATACATTGGTCCTAAACTATAGGAAAAACCCCTTCTGTGCCTTGGTCTTTGTCCAGTACATGAAAGTCATCATCTTCTCTTGCTTCATCACCATTGAATCACAGTTTCACTGTCATCATTCCACGTGGTTTGAGGGATTTTACGTAAAACAAGGAGTCAATATAGAATCCATAAGTGGTAAGATTCCTGACATACATTCATCACAAAACTATCTACAACTAACAGACAGAGAGCACATATGGTTAGATAGCACATACATTGACTGCTTCTAGAGGACTGAGGCTAAATCATACATATCTTTATATAACCAGCACAATATGGTAATGCTCCATACATGTGTCTGCTGAATTAAAATGAATAGTCAATGTTTTGGAAAGCAATAATTTATAAACAATGCCATTGGTGGGATTTTCTGAAATATCATTTATTCAGTGAAGGAATTTCAATAATACCTCTGTGATTTATTGTTTGTGACAGAGCAAATCATTTTTGCCTTTTTGTCTTTGAAATTCCCTGCAATTGTTCATTCACCTTGTTAATTGTCATGAGGTGAAGATCTTGCTCCTGAAGACACATTTTTTTCCTCCCAATGACAATGAAGTCATTCTTCTTATGGATGTCTGCCCTGACTTCTCAGCTTATAGATTCAAGAGGTATTATTAGTGGTAAGACAAGGGAAGGAGACAAGGGGAGCCCACCTCATGGGGGCCTGATGAGGTAAGTGGCTACAGAAACTAAATGATGAAAGGAGAAATTAGTTTCCCCTTTTCTTCCATCTGTGGCTTCTGGACTGTAGCCAGAACCTACCTCCCTTCACCTCACTCATTGGGTTGTTTTGGTCCATTTGTTCTATAGAAATCATCACCCAATGCCAGCCACCCTCCTAAAATCAAGGTGAAGAGCTCACCTCTGATTGAGAAGCTTCAGGTAAGTACAAATGCATTCTTCCCTGTTTTTCACTAATCACCCTGTGAACTCTGCCCATGGCTGGACTGGCTCCCTGGGAGTACCCGTGAAGCAGGTAACTACCCCTGAGTTCATAATCTTGTTAGGGAAATAAGATATTCATACCTGATATAATAAAAGATGCATAGGAGAGCACATGCCAGAAATCTCAGTTATGTGCAACAGGTCAACTCCTGCTGATCCTGTCCAGGGCTTCTCAACCTTGGCATTATTGGGGCTGAAAAATTTTGTAGCAGGGGGAGGGGAGCTATCTTACTCATTATAAGATGTTTAGCATCATTCCTGTCCTCCCCCACTAAATACCAGTAGCTCTACACAACAATTTGTAACAATGAAAACTGTCTCCAAACATTGCTAAATGTCCCCTGGGGACAAAATCATCTCTCACACCTGCTCCAGGGGAGAAACACTGATTTAGAAAGTCAGAGCAAGAAGAAAGTGAAGCGGACATGAAACTGGAGTTTTGGACCCAAGGCCCAAATTCCTGAGATTCCATATGCCACTTGCCCCTAAATGCCAAATAAAGAGGCATGGTAAAGACAGAGAAAGGAGGTTTATTGCGTGGCTTGGGACATGCCATGGTAAGAGGCAGAGTAAGCACTCAGCTCATCTTCAGCCATCTTTGGGGTACAGACATGATCTATAGGTTTAAGTAGACTAAAGAACTAGGGCAGGGGACAAAAATATGCATAGTTAAGAAGTCCCAGTCACAGGTGTGGTCTGGTTGGTCTTGGTTAGGCAGGTGGTCTGGTGGTCTGGTCCAGATCTGGGAAATTATCATAAAGATGTTATCAGTCCTGTCCTTTCTGGAAGATGATTGCAAAAAGTCTGTAAAGAGAATGGCTTAGCGCAAAGACAGATACAAAATGGAGGCAGGGATGCCTATTTTTAGATAATTTGTGGGCCCAAGTAAGAAGTCAGTGCTTTTCAGCAAGAGCAGTTTAAGCACTCTTAAAGGATTGGGAAATCAATGAGTGCTTTATGAAAGACTTATGTTCTGTAAGGGATGGGGTCTAGAAAGGAGTGAAGAAGGTAATCCTGGTGTGAGAACAGGGAGAGCTAAAGCACAGGAGAGGTGACCATGATGCATCCAGGTGGGGCTGGAAGTAGCTCCTGCTTTCTCTCCAGCCTCTGACCAGCCACCCCAGGAGAAGGAGCAAGCTCTGGCCACTGTAAGCTACCATCCAGGCCCAAGGAAACCCGCTCATCCACTTTGCTCTCAAGCCACCAGGGGGGGTGTCAAGACAAACAGCCACAGCCTCTGCAGTTGTCAGCTGTGGAAAAGCCCAGGGATTTATTTCCCAGCCTGGTTTGGGGTTAAGCAAAGCATCTCTGGTCTGTGGCCTACAGAGAATGAGGTCTCTGAAGTGTATCCCCTGAAATTAGTTCATGTTGAGAATGCCTGATTCTCCTCCCCCCAGCTGCAAGTAGGTGGTGGTGACTTTTGTCACTCTAGGAGGCTCAGGACTCCCATATATACACCAGGTATCTCTCAGAAGGGACCCCAGAATTCCAACAGCCAGCTGAAAGGTGCAGACCAGGGCCCCTACTTCGGCCTCCCTGCAAGCCACCACAACCCTCATCCAGGTGCCAGAGATTGTTCCCAAATGCTGCAGTTCTGATCTCATTCCCTTTTCCAGGCATTGATGAGCCTTTTGGGAGAACACAATGAATTGAGAATGAGGTTTGGCTGTGTAATTGTTGAATCTGATTAAGAATGCCAACAAGGGCTGGTAGCATGACTCAAGTGGTAGAGAGCTTGGCCCTGAGTTAAAATCCCAGTATAAGGTGGGAAGGGAAGGAGGGAAGAAGGGAGGGAAGGAGAGAGGGAGGGAGGAAGAAAGGGGAAAAAGAATACACCAGCAATGGGGTCTGGTACAGGAAATGAGAGGCAGGAGGATCTCAAGTTTGAGGCCAGCCTGCTACATAGTGAAACTCTGTCTCAAAAGAAAAAACATTAACAATAGTTATGACAGTTTAGCTAGGTCCCACTGGAACCTTACTTTGTTGAGTATATATGGGAAAGAACTAAGAAATGCATCATTGGCTTGAATGAACTATGTTTTTCCCTCATTAAAATAGTCTCTAATTCAAAGTTTAATTTATCTGATGATAAACAAGATCTGTTTTATTTGCAAGCATTATACAGGGGGAATTTAGAGGAAGTAGCCTTCCTTTAATGCCCAGTTATAGTTCCTCTGAGCTGGCCCAGAGCATCAACCTCCATGACATCTGCAATCCATACCTTTCCCTGGTACTCATCAGGTGCTGCTTTTTGCCATGGCTTTGGGTCACCGTGTTGCTTCTTAATTTTAGCATTCATACATCTAATTCTTTCCATGACTCAGCCTTGTCTGTATTATACATTCTTTACTAAGTTCACTATATATATATATATATATATATATATATATATATATTTATTTATTTATATCCGCTGCCGGGCACTGGTGGTTCACACCTGTAATCCTAGCTACTCAGGAGGCAGTCCAAGCAAATGGTTCATGAGACCCTATCTCAAAATACCCAACACGAAAAAAAAAAACCTTCCTAAACATTTGTAATGCTTTACAGTCTGCAAGTCTTAACTGTACACATAGGTTTCCAAGGCAGGGGAATACTGGGGCTGCAGGGAGTTAGAAGAGAGAGGGTGTGAGTGTGGGGTATTAGCCAAGTAGCAGCAGAACCAGTAGCAAAAGACTTTGAAGGTCAGGCTAAGAACTTTGGACAAATAAAGAATCTGAGACTCAGGAAGGATAGTGACTTACTAAAGGTCATACCACAGCTATTAAGTAAAAGATACAATATTTAGAGTCAGTTGAATGGGCATGGAGAACCTATGGACTTCCTGTTGCACCATTTGCCTCTCAAGCTCCATCCCTTTCTGTGAGGTCTTACTGTTGTCTGCCTGGCACAGTTGGGACTGGAGGACACACCCATGCAGTGATTTGGAAACGCAAAGGGCAAGAAAAGTGTCCCTATATGGCGCTAGAGAGATCCAGGATGCTCACGCACAGACAACTTCCTGCTTCACCATCTTCTCCATGGCAATAGGGTGGACTGGAATCTCCCACCTACTCCCCACCGAACCTCCCTCAAACTTTAATTACCTTTGGGTAACTGTCCCCTTTGGTTGACCTCAGGGATTATTTTGATCGGGGCTTACTTGCACTATGGTGTCCCAAGTGGTGGACACACTGATTTGTTCTGCTGCCTCCCTCCTGAAGAGTGTGGTGTCCACCACTCTGGCTGTCTCTCAAGAGAGGGCTCTACCTGGAGGCTTGAGGGTCAAGTAGATCTGGCATCAGTCTCAGGGCAGAGTCCTAACTCACAAGGAGACCATAACTGAGCATGCATGGGTGGTTGTAGAAGAGACAACAACATGTGTCTGAAAAACAGTAGGAATTCACTACAGTAACTGTATTGACTGATGAGAAGATGACATGGGTGCTGCAGGTGCCACTGGCAGTTGCTATTTTGGTCATTTCGCCTACCAGTTAGTGCTTTTCCTGGGCATCTTTGTTGGATCTATATCAGCACTGTCTGAGCATCCTGGAAGTCAGATGCTATGGCAAGCCAGGTAGCAGAAGACAAGTTGAGTAGGCCACGCTTCCAGTTCGGAAGCCTCATGTTAACTAATCTCAACCAGGTCTGAGACCAGATAACCAATAAGACAGAGAGAAGTGCTCATCTTCTCTCCATCCTTATTTGAAATTCCTCACCTTTTCTTCATAGGCCAATTTAACCTTCGATCCAACAGCTCTGCTGCCTGGGGCCTCGCCCAAGAGTCCTGGACTCAAGGCTATGGTGTCACCGTTTCACAGTCCCCCTTCCACACCCAGCAGCCCTGGTGTGTGGTTTCGGCCTGGTGAGGCAGAGGAGGTGCCCGTCAGCTTCGACCAGCCTCCTGAAGGTAGTCATCTGCCCTGTTACAACAAGGTAAATTCTGATCCCAAAGTGTGGTATGCCCAAGAAGTTGTGGGGAACAGAACAATTTTGACTCTTCTCTCCCCTGTTGTTGCTGTCCTGGAGAAAAGAGGAAATATTCAGTGCTATGGTCAGAGCTGATTTTACAAAAGTAAAAATTCTCCACTCCTTTTCAAGTGATTCCTGAATTAAGTCCACCCTCCACCTAGCCTACCTTTCTCATCTCCTCCCTCTATAATCGCGCCACGTGCCCAACCTGCAGGCTGGCAGAGGATGGAGTATCTACCCTTTGTAGTAGGGGGAGGGAGGGATTGAGAACTGACTGCAGCTGCACAGATAGGTAATGTCAGAAGCTGAAAACAAAAGCTACTGACCTAGTCTGTGATTCACATAGAAGAGCAAGCAGGGTCACTTGGATTCTAGAACATCCCACTCTGGCCTCATGTCAATAGTCCAGTGTCCCAGTGTGGGGGCAAATCATCCTTACTGCAGCTTGCAGTTAAAGAACATCCAAGGGCTGGTGGAGTGGCTGAAGTGGTAGAGGGCCTGCCTAGCAAGCATCAGGCCCTGAGTTCAAACCTCAGTGCTGCCTACTCCCCTCAAAAGAACATCCAAAATGGTCTTTCTGCAAAAACATATCATTTCTACAGATGCTGCCTTGATCTTTTGTGTGCACTTTCACCAGATCCCTAGCCCTACTAGGAGGAAGAAGGAGTCAGAGATACAGCCCAACACTGTCTAAGCAGGTAGCCAGCAAAAGTGGAACAGAGCCAGGCAGGCAGGGATCAAGGGTCTGTTGCCAGGGAATGCGAAATATGTATGACTTTGGAAATAAGAATGCGGAAGTTAGATCTTCTAGGCTGTCCCGGGAAATCCATCTAGCAACAGCAGTCAAATGTGTAGAAACAGATAGGACTCACATTGGTGGGAAAGGAGGTGATGGAGCAGCGGGCTTGAGCCTGATAGCTGAGGACAGAGGGGTGGTGGAGACTATTGAAGGCAGACAGCCAATAGGAGAGCCTCATCCTCTCACATGGTACTCGGTAGCAAGTAGGGTGAGGGAGGGAGGGAGGGTTTGCTACCTCTTCGTCACACCTGGGGCTTCAGCCTTCCAAGAGCAGCGTGGGAGCAGGCAAAACGATTTCCCAACCTTGGTGGCCATGAGGACTGGGGCCTTGGTTCTGCAAAGCTGAGTCCATGGTAATCTCAGGAAAGGTTCTGGGAAGTCCTTATAAACCAAGCATTCATCCCAAAGCTCTGAGATGGAGCTACAATTGTTAAATACCAAAATATAGCAGTAGGAGAGATTCACAAAAATTTAGTTTACTTATGAAGTTTTAAAGGGCCCGTTGATTATGTCAAGTGTGCATCCGATATGAATATTTCCGTTGCATTTGTGACAAAGTGTGCTCTTCTCAGATAAGCCAGATTCTGAGATTCACCTGCTGCCTGGAAGTTCTGCTGGGGGCGCCTGAGGCACAGTTTCTGACAGTGGTGGCTCTGACTCCTAGAAAGCCAAGGACACTCTGCTCAGCTGTCCCAGTTCTCAGCCAGCACAGGGGAGAGCAGGGCAGGCCCAGCTGGGGTGAGAGAGGAAGCTGGTTACCATCTGTCCAGCTCAGCACTCATGAGGTCCCTGTACTAGGGCCAGGCTACTTCCAGGACTCTAGCCCTCTTCTCAGTGGGTTCACCTTTGTCTAAGTATCATTTTCAAAATATTAAAACATGCCTCATATACCAAATAGCAACAAAATTTTTCAGCTTTCCAATTTAAGAGGGAATCTGGGAGATGGAGAAAAGCTCACTTGAAGAGCATTTGAAGTACTGGTTATTTACAGGCAACGTTTTAGAAATATTCCAATAAAACTGCTAAGTTAGACACCAAATGCCCATCAGGGCAATAAAACTGTAAGTTACTTTTAAAAAAAAAATTGCATCTTGATGAGACAATGTCTGCAGGCTACCACGTAATTTTATAATCCTACAGCCTCTAACCTATAATAAACAGCAGACAGCACTGTATCCTGGGAAACTAGATGATCCTGGAGTAACCTAGTTTAGGAGTGCTTTAGACTGACATTGAAAGAACATGCAGACCCCCTCTTGACCTTTCTTTTTTTTTTAACAGATCTTGGTATAATTGTCCTTCTTCCAGGTGCGGACAAGGGGCTCAATAAAAAGGCGCCCTCCCTCCAGGCGATTCCGAAGGTCTCAGTCGGACTGTGGGGACCTTGGAGATTTCAGGGCTGCAGAGCCATCTCAGGAGAATGGTGCCAGGGAAGAGAATGGGGATGAAATGTTCCCAACCAAGAGCAATTCCCCAGGATCCTCCCCAGCCAGTATGGAGGTGATGGGAGAGGGAGCAAGGGGAACCCTGGGGCCAGCAGAAAAGCCCAGCAGAACAGAGAAGCAGGAGGAGAAGGCCAGGACCCCAGAGGAGGCCAAGCATAGTGACAAGGCTGGGCAGAATCCAGAAGACGCTGGCCAGCGCCCAGCACAGGAGGTGCCCCAGGAACCACCCCAAACCTCCAGCCAAAAGGCAGAGAATGGGTGTGGGAGCCCTGTGGAGGAGAAGGCAGCTGGAGAGGAAACAGAGACTGGAAAGTCTACAGAGGTGATGGCTGAGGCGATGGGAAATGAAGAGGATAGACCAGGACAGAAGAGCCAAGATGAAAAGAAGCTGGAGTTGGGAACACTTGGGGAGGAGACCCCCCATAGTCATCCCACAGAAATGGAGGACAACAATGTCCCAGAGCAGGAGAAAGGCACAGAAAAGCAAGAGGAGGGGGCAGGTCTGGAACCAGGATGCAGCCCTGGGGCCTGCCACACCCTGCTAGAGACCAGCAGTGAGATCCAGAGTGGTCATGCAGTCCCTACGGTAGGTTCCCACTGGGAGAGCTGTGCCAGGGCCAGAGTGTGTTGTTGTCACATGCCCTGTTCCTTTCAGTTCCATGATAAACCAGCTCAGTGTGCAGAAACAAAGGTGCCAGGCTTCCGCCTCGTGCCCACTGCCTTGAGACAGGCTGTCGCTGATGGCAAGGGTACAGAAGGACAAGAAAGGGAAGTGTGTTGCATGCTTTGTCCTGCTTTTGCTTCTCACTGACTCAGAGTTCTGGCGAGCTTCTGGATATGCATGGGATGAGTGAGCCCTGGCACAACTCGGTCACTGAGGTCTGCCAGCAAAAGGGCCCCCTCATGCAGGACCCTGAACTTGCTGCTGTCAGGGATCCAGAAATGAAAATTAGGTGCTTCTTTCTTAAAACTTTTACAGTCCAAGCCAAGCACCGATGGCTCACACCTGCAATCCTAGCTACTCAGGAGGCAGAGATCAGGAGGATCTTGGTTCGAAGCCAGCCCAGACAAATAGTTCTAGAGACCCTATCTCAAAAAAAACCATCACAGAAAGGGCTGGCAGAGTGGCTCAAGGTGAAGGCCCTGGGTTCAAGCCCCAGTGCCAGGAAAAAAAGAAAGAACAAAGAAAGCAGGGGAAAGTTTCACAAGCAGGTGGAAGACATGTGAAGAAGTACTCCTAAAGGATTAACTTTAGTTATGTTGCTCCTTTCATGTATTTTTACATTTCATGCTGAAAGAATGAGCCTTTGGGGTAATTTCAATCACGGGGCAGGCTGGATGCATCAAGTCACAGGACCTAGGATTCTGTTTATAAAGAAAGGTAGTGCTGGACAAAGGGCACTGAATAACACACAACACTATTTAGCAAGTGTTTCTCAAACACTCATTAAATACCCTGTACTGTGTAACACACTCAAGTTTGTCCAAGGCAAACACCCACACAAAGACAATCCAGATTTTGGGACATCACATACAAGACTTTGATGAGAGACTTTGAGACTTTTACTTAACACTAAGTGCCCACTTTCTAGTTGGCAGGTTCGATTGCTTTTCCAAGTCATTCTGCTTGGGTTTCCAGTGTTTTATTTGGAATTCTTTCCTCCCTCAGCAGAGGAAACACAACCTTCTCTTGAGAATGCACCTACCTTTGTAACTCTCTGTTCTCTCCTTCTTCCATCCCTCCCAGGTAACTGGGTAGGTAGCTGAGACTCTGTGGCCCTTATTCCTTCTCAGTTATCTTGGGGGTTCACTGCCCCCCCACTCTCCCTCAGCCATGTAACTGTCCTTCCCTGAGATCCTTCTCCTCTCCCTCCCCAGTACTGCCTTGGCAGTACTCTAGCCTTTCTTATCTTACCATCATAACTCACCCCACCCCAGATGATAGCACCAAATTCATCTTCTTAAAAACGCCATCTGGGTAGGCTGCTCTCCTGCCCTCCCCAGCCCTTTCGATTAGGAATCCTGTTCACACTTCTTGACCTGCTGTGCTTTGCCAGGGTCCCTGACCTTTGCTGGTTCCCTGCCACTGCCCTATGGAGGGGTTCAGGACTGCAGCCAGCCTATGCCACCCACCATTCTACACAAGCTATGCATCCTCTCACCCACTCTACTGCCCCTTCCCCCAGAATGTCCTGCATTGCCACCTGCAGTTGCTGCAGGCCCACTGAGCCCAGCCCTCTGCTGCCTGGAAACTTCTCATGCTCACCACATCTCTATCTTCTCCACAAGTCTCCCTGGCCATCCCAGGACAGATACCCCCAACTCCTTGTGCATCTGCTTTCACTCAGAATAATTTACATGGAGGGCCCACATCACATACCATGGGCACATTTCATAAATGTCTCCGTTTCTAAGCTAACTATTGATGGAGACAAGGCCTGAGCCCAGCACTGCTCCCAGGACAGGAGGAACTGACAGTAATACCTTTTGAAAGAACATTGGAGAGAGGGCTATTTCTGATCCTTTACTCAAGTATTAGTCATTTATTTATTTATTTTATGTATTTATTTATTATGGTGCAGGGATCAAACATCACACATGCCAGGCAAGAGCTCTACCACTAACCTACAACATACACACACACACAGCCCACAGTTTTTTATTTTCAATCCCTTCTGTTCTTTTTCATTTTAATGTTGCCTAATAATCTTGAGCAGTGTTTGAGGAAGATGAAATTGAGTGGGAATGCAGCGGATAAAAGGCTAGGGCAGTGAGGACAAAGAAAGGCAGGCATTCAGGGATGGGCAGCATTGCCTATAGTAGTTCAGGGCTCAACCCATAGTCCCTGACCCCACCACTTAACTATCTGTGTGACTTAGGGGAATTAATAGAAGCACCTAATTCATATTGCTTTGGTGAGGATTAAATGAGCTGATGCATGTAAAAAAGATTATATCAGGCATTATTATTACTATCACTCCTATTAATATTGTTTTTGCCTGATCTAGCATCCCCAAGGAGATCTGCTGAGCATCAGGATTTCCCCCTCTTCTTCCCCACTCATTCTTTCCTCCCTGGTTCACAGGATGACACTCCTGTTGAAGATACTAAAATGTGAAGGCAAGCTCACTGCGCCCTGGTGATGACACTGCTGGAGACGTCTCTTTGGAAGTAGCAGTAACAGTAGCAGAAGCAGAATATGCTCCATGTCTGAAGTCGGCCTGGGGCACAGGGTGGATTATTCCCTAGCCACCACACAGAATGTTCCTCACAGATGGAAAGTGCAGCCAAGGACAGTAGACTTTTATCAGCTTGAGTTGGTGTTATTTGAGGGGCTTGATTAAAAAACAAAACAAAACTTATTTAAAGCAATTTCCTGCGGTGCCAACTGCCCAGGGATACTGGTCAGCCTGTGGAGCCCCAGAGCTCTCCACCCCCCACCTTTCCCTGCCTCCGACGTCCAGCTGAGTGCTGCTTGAGCTTATCAGATGTTGCCTATGTAGAGTTACAGCCTTTTCACTGTTCTAAAATTTTTATGATCCTCAAATGTAAGTAAAAACTAATTTTAGGTGGATGGAATCCAAAGAAAATAGTCTTGCTGAAAATATAAATCCTTTAAGTTATAGACCTTAAATTGTATCGAGACCTTAGAGAAGATGTCAGCTTGCTCCAAATGGGAACTGGTTAACCAATTTCGAAAACACTGGACTTGACGAGATAACTATTGTAATCTTATTGGAAAAAAAAAGTATGCCTCTGTTCCACCAACACGAGCTTTGCCTGTCCCATGGTTTTCTGGTTGCTGACTAACATGGGAGGTGACTGGCTCAGCTCACCCCCTTCTGCCAGCCCTGAGAAGCCGAACTATGGAGGAGCTCCCATGGGGAAAATAGGGTGTCAAGATGCTTTCCTCTGCATTTCCAAATCCTGAAGCAGAACGGTGATGTCTAAGCAATGGCAGTGCCCTGATTTATGGTGCAAGGATGAATCTCACTCTTCCAGAAGGTTACCCTTGAGCAGGATTAGATATTTGCTGGGAGATGCCTTGCATACCCAGAGTGTGAGCTGCCTTATGAAAGCTTCCTAGCTTCTCTGGGAAGCATTTCCTGAATCCAGGCCCAGGCTCTTCTCCAGGACTCAGAAGGAGTGATTGGGATCTTCTGTCTGTTCTCACCAGGTAGCTCTTGCTTTAATAGTCTATTTGGAGAGTGTAGGAGTGTTTGCAGGCCACAGAGCCTGACTACCCAGTCCTCAACTGATACCCTATCTCCTCTTCATGCACTCCTCCTGAAGGATGTTAGTCTGAATAAATGTTTAATCTGTAGGGTTGGTCCTCATTCTGATTTATTTCAGTGCCTCAAGGTGCTGATTTGGCAGTTGGAACAATTGTCTTTCTGGAGGTCAGTTAGATCTCACCCAATCCTGGCTTCACCAAACAGTCTCCCAGACAAACAGGCCTTTCATCACTGGTGGTACCTCAGTTTTCTCATCCAATTTACAGTTTTCCTAATTCCAGGACAGTGTTAATATCTGGGATTTTTTTCAAAAGTATTTTTAAATAGTTTGTAACTTGTTACAAACTTGTAACCTGGTCAAGACGATACTGTCATAGTTATTATAAACTTTGGATTTTTGACAGAATTTGGAAGATATGTGTGTCAGTTATTTTAAGATCTACATACTGTCTGCTTATCATCTATCAAAAGAGATGTCTAGCCGCTATACAGTACACGGTTTTATTTATATATGTCTGGGGGTTGTTTACATATTCACACACAGGTACTTTATACATATGTCATGATTGTGATGTGGGATGAAGAGAGTCACATTCTTTTCTAGAGAATGGCATTGAACAAAGGGTGCAATACAGATATGACAGGGAAGCTGTATATTCTTCTAGAGACTTTAAACATTACAGTAGCAGATGAGAAAGAAGCACTAAAAATGCCTGCAGGACATGCTTGATGGCATCAAAGTACCTTCTTATCCCCCCACACCCAGATCCGGTGTAAGTCACATCCTTTGTCTGTTTGTGGAAAGGCAGAGGCCGCATTCCCAAGGAGCTGTTCATTCCTGAGGGTTCTCTTGGCAGGGAATTCCTGAAGGTGGGGGCTGCTCCTATTGGTGCTGCAGCCAGTGACTCATGTTCCCCTTTCCCAAAGCATGAACCAGGGAGTTGCACTAGCATGGTCAGTATGGGATATCTACATTTGGGATTAAAGAAGCCTATCCGTGTCTTTCACAGCACAACGTCACCAGGCCAGGAAGATCTTGGTTCTTTCAGGCTTCTTTAAAGGCCTGTAAGAAAACAATTCTTCCTCAGGCTGAAGAGTCAGAATCGTTCTTCTGCTATCTCTGTAGTATAATTTGAGCTTCAAACTATCTCCTCCCTTTTTCCAGAGAGGGAGCAAGGAGAAAAAAACCCAGATGCTTTGAAGGGATATGCCAAATTTAAGAGAGGATTATGATGCTGTTTCAGCTACTTATGGAAGTAGGTCACCAAGTGACCGTGAGAAGCCCCAGGAGCCTCTGACTCCGGCCTGCCACAGATGTTACCCCTGAAAAAGCCCAGATTGCTGCGCAGGTTTTGGCCTGAGATTGGTCAATTAGGTGTTCATTGAATGTATGTCAAAGAAAGGAATAAATGAGTAGAAAGTATCAAGTTCATCATCTTTTGACTAGGCTTTTTGATTAGATAAAAGTTTAATGCCACTGAATGTGAGAACACAGTTGCTGATGACAGGGTACCAACTCAAACTGACTGATGAAAAGCAGAACTATGGGTGTGGGGGGGTCACACACATCTGTAATCCCAACCACTTGGAAGGTGAAAGTAGGAAGATCATGGTCCAAGTCCACCTGGAACAAAAGCACAAGACCCTATCTGAAAAACAAACCAAAAGCAAAAGGATTTGGGAGCATGACTCCAGTGGTAAAGCACTTGGAGGCCCTCAGTTCAATTCCCAGTACTGTCAAAAACAAACAAACCAGAATTCTATCTACCTGTGCATATCTCCTCATTTCCCCCATACTGAATCATGTAACTGAAAAGTCAATGGATAGATCTACACATAGTCACTCAAGGCAAGTCAGGAATCTCTCTTAACACTAGTCTCTGCTTTCCTTTGTTCTTCATATTCCTCTTCCCCAAATGCAAACCCAAGGAAAGAGCCAATTTGTTCCCAATAACTGTAGGAAAGAGTTTTTCAGAGGCTTTCCACAAGCCCTGTGTGGATCATGTGCCCATACCTAAACCAATCATGGACAAGGAGATGAAGAGGTCTTGAGCCCTCTCCTGGGGTAAGGGGCTTGGTGAGTCAATCCTATTCAATCAACATGAATTGAGAATGGGAACAAGGTGGTACCTCAGAGTGAAAGCAGTATGCTGTTAACCAAAAGAACAGAAGTCAGGGAGGCCAAAAACAATAGCTGTTATCAACAAGGTAATACCTGTAACACCACATTACTCTTCCATTGTTTGCTTCCAAATTAAATTTTGCTAAGTATAGTCAGTTCGGTGGTCCATGGACCAGGTAAAAATGGAATGAACAAAAATATCTCTGTAGGAGCTGTGATCAGGTGGCTTATAAAAATGACAAAAGAACTGAGCAAAACTCAAAGACAACTCAAGAAAAATGGGATAAACCATCCAAAAATCAGTCTTAAAATGTTGTATAATGTATTGCTGTGTCCAGAGCTGATCTGCAGCTCCATGAAGATATAGTTCATGCCTGTATTATTATTCATTGTGTACAGTGCCTCTTAGATAGTAGGTGTTCAATAAATATTCAATCATGAGTGGGTAGATGAATAATGAGTGATTGATTTTATAGTGGGAAGAGGCTATTTTCAACATCATTCCCACTCAGCACCTCTTTTACCTTAAATGTCTCCCATACCCAGATACCTGAAATGTCATAATTGGCAACTGGTTCCTTCCCAGCCAAAATGCAAAACTCCTGAGAGAGATCACATTTTAAACCCATGTCATTCACACCTTGATATGAGCTGGGTTTTGAGACCCTTCTCAGAGAGGATTAAATTAGAAGAGAAAAGCACACCAAGTCTTGGGGCAGGAGACCACTTCTCTGACTTCCCAATCTTGGTCAGGGTTACCCAGGTTCACATGGAGCCCTATGATCCAACAGAGTGACTGTGGATGCTGAGAAGATGAATCATTATTCCAGTTTTGCCCTTAAATCCCAGGAGAGCTATGGGAATTCTAGGGAGGCCCCACTGTGGTCAAATGGGGCAGGAAATTGTGGTTCTTTGAGACTCCTCAGAGGAGGGAGAAGTGATCAATGTATTATATGCCTCACAGTGAAAGGGAGTCAGAAGTAAAACCCACCCACTGCTAAAATAAGAATAAAAAGACTTCTTCTTCCTCCTCCTCCCAATCCTGGACAGTGGGTGGCTTTTTCTTTTTCTTTTTCTTTTTTTTTTTTTAGTGGTACTAGCATTTGGACTCAGGGCCTCATGCTTGTTCTTCTACCAGGTGAGGCACTCCACCAGCCCTGTTTTGTGTTGGGTATTTCCCAGATGGAGTCTGTGAACTATTTGCCAGGCGTGACTTCAAACCATGATCCTCCAGAACTCCTGAATAGCTAGGATTACAGACATGAGCCACCAGAGCCCACCTAGTTGGGGGCTTCTTCATGGGTCCTGGTCCAGACATGGAGATGCTATGAGAAAAACAGGTTGCAAACAGAAGAGGTGGAGATAGACTGAGGTTCCACCTTGGGTATTCTGAAAATGACTGGCCCTTCATGATGTAGTTCTACATAGAAATGTGAGAAGATTCTAGAAATTGGGCAAACCTGTAAAATTGATTATCACACTTACCAGTTGTTTCTACTGTTTGAGTATTTAAGAAAGCCAGGGGTGTTGGAAGTAACTAGGCACTTCCCATCAATGCTGAACCTAGCCTCTCAGGAGTTACAAAAACAGAGTTATTGACAACCCCTGGAAGCAGATGGGATAGGACAGGTCCTCAAATTTTGTGTCCCTACTCATGCTAACAGGAACAAGGAAATATGCAGTTTTAAGAGCACTGCTTTTTTTTGTAGTTTATAATTTACCTCAAAGGATATTACTTATCCTTCTTTTTCTCATTATAAAATCTATGCATCTTTATTTTAGAAAACCAGCAGAAGGGGATACAACTTTTAAAACAGTAAACAAAAAGTCATTCATAACTCAATTCCCCAGAGATAAATGTTGCTAACATTTTATGGATTTCCTTATGATTTTGTATGCATTGTTTATATTTTAAATTCTTGGTTGTTTCAAAATAGGGATTTTACTATGTCTAGATTTTTTTGGTAACATGCTGTTATCAGCATGTCTTCATAAAAAACATCACTAGTTTGATCACAAATATGATATACTTTTGTCCTATTAACAAAATAACATCTGGAGCAGGACCAGGTCTGCTTAAAACATAGGGGTAATATGATTTGATGGTGGGAAGGACTTCTTTTGCAACCTACATTATATTCATGCCACCTTATGACCTCATGTACTCAAAAATCTAAATCAAGCAAAAACTTTTGTGAAGGGGCTAAGGCAGCTCCAAAAATTCGTCAGTGGTGACTCATTGAAGGGGTCACAATATTCAGAGGAAGGAGTGAGATAAAGGAGTCAGAAAAAAGGTCATTGAGAGAAACCAGGTAGAACTGGAAATTGGAAAAAGACTCAATTTTTCAATCAGATCTGAGTTCTGTTTAAACTGGGGCATGGTGTGTAGAGGGTAAAGCAAACATACCAAAATGATTGCCAGCAGCCCAGGCTCAGCACAGTTATGAGGCCAGTTGTATGTGCCAAGTTAGCAAGAAGGTTCCTTTGAATGGTCGAGCCGCATAGTTGACTATATTCCCGAGTCCAAGGGCTGACCAGTCCAAGTCAGGACCAAGTCTGCACCACTTAAACCTAAATAGGATTAGAATTCAGTGGTGAGCAAATATTATTAAATAGTCACTAGATCATAAAATGGTCACTAATTTGCCACTACAAATAATTAAAAAGCCCATTCACAGATTCAGTAACATCACCCAGAGTTATTTTTTATTGTGTCCTAATGGACCTACTCTTTTCCTAATTTCATCTCATGCATCTGACCCCAAGTCAAGATGGTCATCTTTAGAGCTTGGGGTTGTAGCTCAGTGGTAGAGCACTTGCCTAGCATGTGTAAAGGCCTGGGTTCAATCCTTAGCACTGGGGGGGGGGTGAAAGAATTGTTATCTTTAATAATACTTTTAACATTATCACCATTCTCAAAAGCTTTGATGTTACTGGAAGTCTTAAAGAGAATTAGAAGTTTGAGTCATGGGTTTCAAAGTTCTCCCAGAGGACTGCAGGTGTGACTCAAGCAGCAGAGCGTCTGCTTTGCAAGCATGAAGCCCTGAGTTCAAACCCCAGTCTCACCAAAAAAAAAAAAAAATTAAAGTTCTCCCAAAGTCATGGGTCCTCTTACACGTTTCCACTTTAATTGCTAAGAATCCTTGGCCTGGAGTTGCATCAAGAACTTGCTATAAGCATTTGTTGCCCTCAACGCAGAGAAACTAAAGCAGATACTTTAAAGCAACTGAGGCAATAGGAGAAGGGGACCAGGAACTAGAGAAAAGGTTAGATCCAAAAGAATTAACCTAGAAGGTAACACACATGCACAGGAAATTAATGTGAGTAAACTCCCTGTATAGCTATCCTTATCTCAACTAGCAAAAACCCTTGTTCCTTCCTGTTATTGCTTATACTCTCTCTTCAACAAAATTAGAGATAAGGGCAAAAAAGTTTCTGCTGGGTAGCGAGGGGTAAGGGGGGGTAAGGAGGGGGAAGGGAGGGGGCGGGGGGAAGGGGGGAGAAATGACCCAAACATTGTATGCACATATGAATAAAAAAAAAATTGAGCCAAAATAAACCTTTTCTCTTTATTAAAAAAAAAAAAAAAAAGGAACTTGCTATAAGAATTGCCATATGATCCAGTGATACCACTCCTGGGCATCTACCCAAAATAATGTAAGACAGGATACAGTAGAGACACCTGTACACTGATATTCATCGCAGCACTGTTCACAACAGCCAAGCTCTGGAAACAACCCAGATGCCCTACAAGTGATGAATGGATTAAGAAAATGTGGTACATATACACAATGGAGTACTACTCAACCACAAGGATATGCACCACAAGGAATAATGACATGGGGTTTGAACGTAATGGATGGAGGACATCATGTTAAGTGAAGTTAAGTCAGACTCAGAAACACAAAAGATGCATGTTTTCTCTCATAGTGGAAGATAGATCCAAAGAAAAACATATATACAAAAACAAACATGATCATATACAAACTCAGATGTAGAACACATTTGTAACAGTGGAACTACTCTATGGAACTTGGGGAAAGAGGGAAAGGAAAAGAAAATGATCGCGCATCAGTAATATCGCATACCATAAGATGTGAAGGTAGAGGATATGAGGATGTGTATTGAAAACTGTTGAAAAATAGAGGGAGAGAGGTAAAGGGATAAGGAAGAGTATTCAAAGGGATTGAACAGACCAAAATAAAGCACACCCACAGAGGGCATACATTGAGACACCCCTTTGAACATCAACTTAAATATTAATAATGAAAATCAGGACTGAGAAATAGACACTTTGGGTGGGGGGTGGGTCTACTGGGAGGGGAGGGGGAAGGATGGAGATTAAGGTGATGGTGTATGGTAAATGGACTTCAAATACCTATATGAAACAGAACTAGAAAACTTCTTGCAATTGCTTTAAGTGGGGTGGGGAGGGGGTTAAGGGGGAGAGATGATAAGGGCAATGTAAATAATGTACAATATAAGACTAATTGGAATTGTCACTATAAATCCCTTCCCCTATAATGATTATAT